TCTTTGAGGGCAAAGCTCTCAAAGAATGCTCTCCGCAGGAGCATTGGCTTCTTCACATGAAGAAGGAAAATTTTTTTTAGCAATGTTATATATTAATATATAAATAATTTTTTTAATTTGTATCACCATTAAAGGTCACGTGATATAAAAATTTTATTGCATTTTTGAGCATAACTTACAAATCTGAGTTTTGATGATTTTCCCAAAATTGGCCACGAGGCGCAGCAAGTTGCGGGACTAGGTGACTTGCACCATACTAAAAAAATATTTGGTAGATCTTATTGCCAAAGTCAATTACATGTCAAAGGTGAAGATAATCTAGATAATCTACAAATTTGGTCAGCATTCCCACTTTTTTATAGACAGATCGTCAATTAATAATAATATTATACATTAAGGTTAGTGCTCCGATCCATCCATTCAAATTAATTTCATGGGAACAGGTTTTTTTTTCAGTCCCGGTAATAAATAATAAATAATGACAGAATGATTGTCGTAAATATATTTATTACTATTGCTATTACGATAGAATTTTGGAATCGGGAACTTCCCGTTATCTACTATTTAAGTTTATTATTATTAAGCTTTTTAGATAAACAGCAATTCACATACAGGGAAAATTTTTTTAACACCAATCTTTTAGAATTCTTTGCCTTTGATGAAACAATTATTAGTTTCTCTATTTTCATTATTTGTACAATGTCGTCATCATTTAACATTAATATTATCAACAAAAACAGAACCAGTGTCACAACTACCAAAACATTTTGTTGTGAATCATCACTATTGTTATTCTTTACCGAAAAAAAAAAACAGGGAAATATATTTTTTAAAAATCAAATTAAGAAAAATTTATAATAAATCGGAAATTCCTCCCCGATATTATTATTTTTCATTCCACGCTTCGCACCCTGGGCGTTTAAGAATGATTTAAACAAAATTAAAATGGAATTTTTAATTTTCTTTTGGAAATGAATTACCTAATTTATTATCAATAAATGTGAGACAATGTAATAGATAACGTTTTGAATAAGTTATAAATAAGCTTTTTTTCACCATTATCTTAAAAAAATATTAAATATGAAATTTATTAAACTCTGTAAAAAGATTTCTTTTTCTAAATTAAAAGAAAATAAAGAAAAAAATAACAATAAAGAAAATAACAATAAAAAAATTGAAATTGAAAGGTTAACTATAATAAGTGGAAATAGAGAACTCGCTAAATTCCTTTCCAAATCTAAAGATGACAATTATATTGGATGGGTTCCTTTTAATGAATTCAAAAATGTTGAATATTTGGCTGAGGGTGGCTTTGGAGTAGTTTATAAAGCAACTTGGAATTCTAATGTGAAAGTTGTACTGAAGAAATTGTATAATTCTAAAAATAATGTTATAAAAATTTTAAATGAGGTAGAATTATTATTATATGTTTTATTTGCTTGTTTTGTTTTCTAAGGAAAAAATTAACACTCTTTTTATTTTTATTTAAATAATAGTTGGAATCATATTGTAAAGTTAACAGTAATTGTATTAATGATTGTTACGGAATTACCAAAGATCCAGATACAAGTGAATATATATTAGTATTTCAATATCTTGAGAATGGTGATTTACATAATTATTTGTTAAAATATTTTAAAGAAATTACATGGAAATATAAATTGAAATCACTTAGAAATATTTTAGAAGGGTAAATTTTCAAATTATTATTATTATTATTATTATTATTATTTATTATTTTTACAATTACTAATACTACTTCCATTAATAGAATATTGCATATTCATTTAGCAGATTATGTTCATCGAGATCTACACAGTGGTAATATTTTAATTGGTTATCGTGGAACTTTTATAGGAGACTTGGGGTTATGTCAGCCAAGCCACAAGAATAATAATTACTATTCAAATAATGATATTTCAAAAGAAATCATTGGAGTGCTTCCATACGTGCCACCTGAAGTATTATTAGGAAAGCCGTATACAAAAAAATCAGACGTTTATAGTATCGGAATGATCATGTGGGAATTTACCACTGGTAAAAAACCATTTTATGACAGGCCACACGATGGGATTCTTATATTAGATATTTGTAACGGGGAAAGGCCCCAGATAACTGAGGACACGCCTAGAAGTTATGCGGAAGTAATGAAAATGTGTTGGGATTCTAATCCGGAGAATAGGCCGACTGTTGGAGAAATTTATAAATATTTGAATAAATATCAAAATTTTAATGATCTCTCAGATTATGAAAAACAAAGCATTGAACTGGCTGAAGCAAAAAGACGTGAAATAATCCAAACTGAAAAATATTTATTAGAGGAACTAAACTATAAACACCATCTTGGTGCAATCTATACAAGTAGACCGTTAGATAATTTAATAAAACAATCTTTAAATTATAGCACCTTTAGTTATCCCTAAATGTATATAAAATATTATTAATTAAAATAATGGATTTCTATGTAAATATTTTATTAATATTAATTTAGATTATTAGATTATTATAACATTTTTATTTTTCTGTGAAAAATAAAAATTTTCGTCACATATTATTATTATTAATATTAAATTAAATAAAACAAGTTTTATATAAAATGAAACGCTTTTTAATTATTCATATACATCGTGTTACGAACTATCCTTCTGTTGTGTATGATCTGAACCCACGCCTTAGATGCATCCTTTTTTAAGAATCCGGCGTAATTAACATTTGAAAAAATTTAATTCAATCAGATTTTACATCAACTTATAAAATAGATCAGCGAGATTGTCATTGTCTACCTTGCTACATACAACATCCTCGCCGTTTACATCCTTGATACAAGACAAATTAGAAGACTTTTTTTTATTTAAAAAAGGAAAATTTTGAGAGATTGTTAAAAATTAGTTTTCAAACAAAATAATTAACAATGTGATTACATTATTATATATAGTTTAAAAGAAAAGGGATTTATCGATAAAAAAAAGTCATTCGTTATATTGTTTAATCATCTAATATTAGTGCCAATTAATATTTTTAAAAAAAAGATTATCATCCATTACTATGTTTTTATATCTTTTTATGTTCAATTGAGACTTTTTTAAATTGTAAAAGACGCATCAAAAAAACGGGGATCGCTGAAAATGAAGGAAGATCTTTGAAAATGGGTTATCTTGGTTTCACTAAAAAATAGAAATCAACAACAACTTTTTTAAAGACACGGCATCAAAAAAAATATATTCAAACCAATCAAATTGTCACTTAATTTCATATTACTATATAAAAAAAAATGATGAACGAACGAATTAAAAAAAAATCTGATATTATTTTTTTAATATTCTAAAAGCGAACATTTTTGAGCAGAAGCCTAATATAATATGCTACAGATAGTAATATACAAACAATATAGTGTCCGGTTAGCTGCATTTGCAGAAGTTACAGAAATCCAAAATAACCATATGATTTATGTAACTTGATTTGTGTTACAACTTTAAGTTCATAAAGAAGATTTTTATGTTAATATTGTAATTTGGAAAGCAGAATTCATTTAAAAAAAACAAAGAGAATTAGAAGTATATTTCCAAGAAAAGAAAGAATGCATGCTTCTGTATCAGAAATATATATTAGTTCTCTAATTATTTTTTCTAATTAAAATAGTTTTCTTTTTTGTAAAAATCTCATATTCCACAAATTGAAACCTACTACTAATTATGCATTAATAATAAAGTATTCGATAAAAGTTGTATATATATTGTTTTTTTTGTGACACAGAAAGACATGACTTTCTATACAGTAAAATGCGAGGAATAATTTAATGGTTACAGCCAGAATCCTGAATTGTTAGAGATTTTAAATGACAAACCCATTTTAATGTGAAATGAAGCCAAACTCACATTATCGGTGAATGGAAGAGAATGGAGAATAAAAGTGAGATACAATTAATCTTTGAAGCATTGTAATTTAATAAATTATCATAATTATCATATATTTGCTTTAGTGTTATTAACTCTATTATTATTTAAAAAATTTAATAATATACAGTTTATTCATTAGGCATTATTAAAACCATAATTTACTTGATATTAATTCTGCTAAATTTTTCGACAAAAACTTCATATAATTAACCGGTCAAGGTTTTTATATTTAAAAAATCATTTACTAGCTTGTTAATATTAGAGATTGGAACTGGTGGCCAAAAAATAAATATACAGTATATTCCAATGTCTTCTATTCAATTGTTTTTTTTATATTTTTCTTGTATGTGCCATTCATAGTAATCCTGATAATAGTGCGCATAATAAACCTTTAGTTTTTCCATCTTTAACTTTAATAGGAAACAACTTCTAGTCTTTGCTTGAAAAAACAAAGAATAACTTCGGGTTCTCGTTTGAAAAAGCAGAGGAAAAATAATAAATAATTAAATAAATTTTTAAAATATAGTCTTTATTTTCCTTGCTTAAAGCGCATTGATAAAAGCAACAAGTGTAGTTCCTTGGTCAATTGCGTTTTATTTGTTTTAGTGAGCAAGCAAAGTCAGGACTAATAATGAGTGTTAATGAAGTATCATCAAAAGATTAATTGGAAATACTGATAGTATTATTGTGATCGTAAACGTAAGGTTGTTGACAAGTTACTTAAATTGTTTTGTAAATAAACCAAAGAGAGTTTGCAATCGGCCAATAAATATAAGACAAGGAAGGGCAAACGACTGAAATAAATCAATTACAAGTGAACAAAAAGAACTGTTACAAAGCCATCTTTAATGATTTACAGTTATCTGGCTGGCACTATTCAGTGTGTTTACATATTCGTCTAGGTAGAACCAAAGTAAATTCGCAAACTAATTAATTGACAAGCACCGAATTATTGTAATCATAATCAGCCATACTTGTTAAATAAGCGGCATTAACCAAAATAATACTTTGCAATATCACTATTTAGCAAGAATCAAAACTGTAAAAATTTTATTATAAAAAGATAAATAATAAATTTATAGTGGAGATTAAATTAAGTATTCATCAATTCTTTCTTTTATTGTTAGAATCTAATGTTAATTTATTACTTAAAAACATAGTAATTTCCCAATTAATGTTAAAGAAGAGAGTTAAAATCAAGATTATTTAATGAACTATCGTTACTTGTACAACTTTTAAAGCTTTTAGATTTAACAATCTCTTCGTCTAATATTCTACTTGTATGATATGCATCTGGATGCGATTTGTGTGCTTGTTGCAAATCACCGCCACCACTTTTGCTACCATGATTCTTGATTTTTATTAAACTATTACCCTTACTATCTTTCGAACTTTCAGTTGTAAGAATTTCTTCGCATTTTTTTATACCAAATTCACAAAGCTCTTCGCTTATGTGTCATTTTGATGAATCCACATTCCAACATCTCTGCATCATTTGCGCATAATCATCAGGCATTTCAGGTAATATTGGTGGTCGTAAACCTTCACATATATCAAAAATTAAACAATGATTGTGAGCTTTATCATCAAAATGGTGAGTGACCTGCAAATATTTCCCACATTAACATCCAAACACTATAGATATCAGATTCCTTGGTGTTCTTTTTGCCTCCAAGTAGCTCAGGTGCAACATATGATACAATTCCATAAACTTTTATCTGATGATTTTTCATCAACTGGTCCACATAATCCCAAATCTGCAATAAAACAGCCACCTCCTTGCAATAATATATTACCACTATGTAAATCACAATGGATTAAATCTTTTTTGTGTATATCATCTAATGATACACATAAATCTTTAAAGATTATAATCCTGTCTTTTAATGTCAAATTTAAATGATTTTCCTGTAAATAATTCCTTAAATTTCCTTCCTTTAAATAATTTAAAACTATTGCATAGTTTCCATTATCTGGGAATTTAGTTATACCAAAACACTTAACAATCATCCCTGATTTAATTTTACAACAATTTATTACCTGAAAATAAATATAAAACCAATTAATGCTATATAATGCAGTATTATTTTCGTTTTAAATGACAACCACCAACCTCATCAAAAAAGCCTTTTCCTAGATTACTTGAGTTGTTTAAATTTTTTAATACTATATACATTTTGCCTTCCAAAATAACTAGATTCCTTTTTATTTTCATTGTAATCAAATATATAACCTCTTGTCCATATAGCAGTATAAATTGAACTAAATCCACCTTCAGTTAACTTTGTTACTTCTTCAAATTGCTCAAAAGCTATCTATTCCAAGATATACTCTATTAGAGGTGATTCAATTTGACATTGTTGAATAAAATTATATTTCCAGATGTCCAAGTGGTGAAAAGGTTCAGTAATTGTAAACTGATACAACCTTCACAGAATCTATCAGAGTATCTTGTCAATTTACACTTGTTACATTCTTTTGGTTTGCCCAATTTATAACTTACTTTCTCTAATTCAAAGTCATACAATATTTTTTTTTCATTTTCAAAAAGCTCCTTGTTTTTTTTTGACTAGTGAAAAAAAATAATCTTTTCTACTTTCTTCATCAGCATTAACCATTGCATTGTCATTCATTTCATTACGAATTTTAAATACAAATTCAACTCTTTCTGGTGATAAGAATTTATCAACATGACATTATAAATAAATGTTTTTACAAAATTTCAAAATTTTAATGAGAAAATGTTTTTGAAAATAACACCAGAGTTGGCAATGGACAATGTCCAATGGTCCATTCATGTAAATCATTGCCTAAATAAAAAATTTAACTTTTAAAAATTTT